GGGCAACTTAGCGAGACCCCGTCTCAAAGTAAAAAGGGCTGGGAATGTGATTCCGGGAGAGTGCTTGCCTGGCATGCAGGAGGCCTGGGCTCCACCCCTCGTTCGAGGAGGGCTGCCTGTCACATCTTTGCTCTGAACTTCCCCTCTGACTTCCGCCAAACCTCAGCTGGGGGGGGGGTCTCTCTCAGCCTGTACAGGCAGGAAAGTGGGTGGCAGGACGTGTCCTGCATGGTCGAGTGCAGGGACTGGGACATCCCCTGGCAGGGTCACTGCCGTGGGGGCAGGCTGTGGGGGTTGGGGCTGTGACAAGGGCCCTGTTCACAGGGTGGAGGCGGCGCCACTCATGGGCCTCCAAGGGCTGGGGCAGGGGGCGGAGCCACCTGGGACTCGCACGCCTGCAGTCTCCCACCTGGAGTGCCCGCCAGGGGTGGCGTCTTCCCCAGCCCACTGGCCAGACCCGGTCACAGCCCCACTCCACACAGCAGCCTGATCCCCTGCCCCCCCACCACAGGTCCCTTCACCACCCTCCTGCTCAGGACACCCTGCCCCACGCAGCACAGCCTTTTCAGTCACGGCTGAGAGCCCGAGTCCAGGGTTTGTGGTCTCTACCTCAGCACTGGGATGGGCCCAGGGACAGGAGCCGAAAGGCTACCGCATAGCCAGCAGGGGGCAGGGAGGGTCAGCTGCAGTGACGTGATGCGGAGGAGGAGGTTAGAGTGCCACCTGTCTCAGCCTTGCCAGGGGTCGTCCACTCTGCCATCCTCTGGCCACTTTTTCCTGCTCGCTGCAGAAGCCTCTTCTGCCAGGTGGCCCCATGTGTTGGCAGTCATGAACTGGCATGCTGGCTTGTGGTGGCCTCCCTGCATCTTGATCCAGGGCCACACCCACGGCGCTTCCTGCAGACGCTGCTTGTATCTGCCAGGAGCTCCGACGTGACACCCAGCAGTCTCCATGGCAGAGGGGTGCTGTCGGGATGCCGCCCCCGTGCCGCCCATCGTCCTGGCTCTGTCACTGGGGCTGCAGAGGAGCGCACTTCCGGCTGAGTCCTGTGTTCCTTTTCTTGACACCTTTTTGCCCAGCTTGACAGCCTGGATGTGTCCGAGCCCGTCTTTTCTTGTAGCGTCTTGTGAAGGGAGCACGTGACTGAGGCGCACTGCCAAAGCAGTTTCCCAACCTCTTCCACTTGACTCATGCTATTCCATATGGCGTCTGTCTCAGGAATCACCACACTTGAGTTTTGCCACATCTTGGCACCCTGCAACACAGGGTGCCTGTGTCCCAAACCCGTTTGCTAACAGCCCCTGCCCCACATTCTGTGAGGCAGCACCCCTCTCCTAGGGCTGGCTTCTGCATTCGAGAGGCTGAGCTATGCCCTGGCCACAGCAGTGTGGAGACACCCGAGTCTGGAGCCACGTCTGTTTCTGACTGATGGTATAAGTCTGCTTGGGCGGGCGCAGGTGGAGTGGCTTCTCTTCCAGGTGGCCACTTGGAGACCTGTGCTGATGCAGGAAACACCTCAAGTGAGCCCCGTGTGGAGGGAGGGGCTCACACTGGCAGGACCAGCCCTGGAGGCCACATGCCACCCCTGTCCCAGAGCCCCACCCGCCCCACCCAGGGACATGGAAGTGGGGTACCCGGAAGATACCTCCAAAGCCCACCAGGAGAGCTGAGGCCCAAAAGTGGGGACGTGTGTGCCTTTCAGAACAGGGACCAGCCAGATAGCAGGGAGGAATGAGGTGTTCATGGAGCCGGGGTGATGTTCACAAAGCGGACTGGGCCTCAGTGGCAGAGACAGCTTGGAACCAAAGCTGGGGCCGTGCATGTGGGGCCCCCCATGGCCTGCAGCTGCCCTGGTCCTTGGGTCCAGAGAGTGTCCTGAGTCCTTCAGCCACGCCCGTGCAGCTCACACTCCTCTGGAGTGCTTCTCACCCTCCCTCCTCTCCTGGGACCTCCTGGTGGCTCCATCCTCAGACCACAGGCTTTGTACAAAACCGGGGTGGGCACATTCCAACGCAAAGAGTAGACACAACTGAGAATCACCCACTCGGGTCTGTACCGTGTGAAGGACAAGGCCCTCAGCAAACCAAACAGCTCTCAAGGGCACTTTTAAAGCCTAACTGGAAGAGGACAGTAGCACAGATATCTCAGACATGAGTGGGCAGGAGGCGCTGGAAATAAACTCTTAAGATAGGAATAGGCCCTTGTGAAACAAGAACAGATAGTCGTAAAAAAGAAACCAGCCAGAGACCTTGGAAAAAAATTTAAAAGGCAATTATTTTTAAAATGTACACAGTAGAATGGTTACAATGACAAGGGTGGTTGTGGGCTGCAATATCAAGATGAAGAATGCTCCAAAACATGAACAAAGCTTTCGTAAAAAGGAAAAGTTAAGGGCTGGGGATTTAGCTCAGTGATGCCACCGCCTGCCTCGAAAGTGCAAGGTCCCAAGTTTAATCTCCAGTACCAAAAAAAAGGAAAAGTTAAGCAGCAAAACTGACGTGAGATGTGGGGGTCACAGAGAGACTGATAAAGCTACATGAAGTCAGACTCTGCATGGAACATGGCAGCCCACCAAACAAGGGCTGTGCTCCGGGGCTGGTGCATGTTCCCTTCCCTTCCTTGAGAGGACCTCGGCTCTCCCCTCCCTAAGGGTGGGTTTGCCGCTTGCTTCCCTCTCCTCACTCATCTAAATGCAATTTGCATGCAGGACACGTTTTGTCTCTATATCCCCGTAAGATTACAATGGGCAGCACAGAGAAATACCCACTTACTGCCCACTGAGCAAATGGAGATGTGGGAGTTCAGATGAGGAACCCCTGGGTGGAGGAGTCAGGGAACACCCCTTGAAAAAGGCAGCCCTGCAGGCAGAACAAGCAGGGTTCATATTCCACAGGAAGTGGTCAATGTGTTTCAGACACACTCCTTTGCTGGGAGTGGAGATGCCATGCAAACTGGTACAGGCTGAGGGACCCTCATTTTGCAACCCTTAAACAACACTGCGCCATGGCGGCGGTGCTCTTCCTTACACGAAGGCATAACATTTAGACTTCAAATAACTGCCTCGGCCCTGGAGCTCACCATTGTGAGAGCTGGTATCAAGAACCAGATGCTTCTGTATCCCTTATCCCACCACCTAGGCTGCTTCCCAACCACTCCTGGTACCTCAGGAACCAGGGCCCCATTCTGTGCAGTGCTGGAGGTGAGCCCTGGAGGGCAATGGGAATACCCTTCAAATTGACTGAGGAAGCATTTCTGCAGGCTGGGGTAGCAGATAGGCTCATAGGGGATGTAGGGTACTAGTGAGGGCAGGTCAACTAGAGATGCCCCAACACCTTCTTTGGCTGAAGTACAAGAAGTGCTGGTCCCTCACCATAATGGTTTAGCTCTAAAATATCCCCCCAAAGTCTCATGTGTTTGAATCATGTAGGCACTACATTCACCAATGAATCTATCCATCGATGAGTTCACAGCTGAATGTGCTGTTAGATGGCATCTGGCTGGAAGTGGGTCCCTGGCTCCTCCCTTTGCTGCTTCCTGGCTGCCATGACGTGACCATCTTTCCTCTGCCAGGTCCTTCCACCATGCCATTTCTGCCTCAGAGCCAGCTAAACATGGACTGAATCCTCCCAAAACTGTGGGCCAAACAGACCTCTCCTACTTTAGACTGTGTCAGGTACTTTTTCCCAGTGATGGAAAAGTGACTAATACACTTACGCATCCTGCAGGCCTGAGCTGCTGCCTACCCAATACCTGCCAAACAGCTGTCTTCCTGAGGATTTAGCTCTGAGCATAGGCCCAGTCGTGGCCATGGACATGGCCACAGGAAGCTGTTACTCTCCTGAGCTTGTTGGTATGGGCGAGTGGCACATCAAATGCCTCTGATGAGTCTGGATCCTGGGCTAGCACCACCTCTGCTAATCCACCGTACATGTTCCCTGTTGTGAAAACTACCTAGCACTCAGGACAGGGAACAAATGTGTATTACTCATCAGGACCTTCAGATAAAGCAGAGTTCAGGCCCTTACAGATTCCTCTGTTACGGTGTAGCTGCCAGCCGGCCAAGGAGTCAGAATTATTTTCTGGAGTGCTCAGCACAAAACAGGTGCTGAGAAAAAAGAAAGAGGTGTTGGACTGTGCACTCATTTCCTCTCTAGAGCCTCAGCAAGATGAGTATCCTGGTGCCCGAACTAGGGGACTGAGGCCTAGTGGGATCAAGGTAGCACAGCATGATGCCACCTGGACCAACTGTTACTAACGCAGGCCTTGGCCAACAGCGCACCGGGAGAGGATGCAGTTGTCACAGAACGTGGGACTCCCAAGCAGGCAGAAGGTTAAGGGGAGGGGCTCCTGGCCAGGTCCAGTTTCTCTTTCAGAAGGACAAACTTTCCTACCTAAACGACGAAAAACGGCTTCGCTCTGAGCACTCTTCGTAACTCAAGGCAGAGTAAAAGTGGCCCGAGGAGAAAAATCTAAGCAGCCTTAACGGATGGGAAACAGCTGTCACTAGAAGGGTGGGGCCCTTTCCCTCCCCCATCAATGAAGCAGGCTTGGAAGGGGAGCCAGACAACAAGCCTCGGGCTGGCCGGTCTCCTTTACAAGAAGGTGTAAGCACTGGTTCCCGCAGCAAGGGTGAATCCTCGAGCGGGTCCTGGTGTCGTCGTCACCTCTCCGTAGCCATGAGTGTCCAGGAGCTGTAACTCCAAGTCCAGGGGTCACTATACCGCCACCAGGACCAGACGCATGCTCCGGCTTAACCCTGCCCTCGCTTAGGATGCAGAGCGGCCGACCCAAAACTGCCTGGGGAGAAACGCCTAGGCCGACAGGGCCCAAACCAGCGTCGCCGCTCCCTCAGGTGCCTCCCCCGAGGCCGGCTCCTTCCCGAATCTTGCATCACGTAACAACAACAGTGGCGGGCACTGGTCCTAGGTCCCTAACGCAGGGAAAGAAATGCATTCTGGGAGGAGAGATGCACTCTGGGAGCGGCGCTGCGTAATGGGATATGTAGTCGATGGTACGAGTCACCCTTTCAGGTCTCTGCAGTTACAAAAACTCGACTTGAACTCTCGAGGACAAAATGTCTGCCAGTCCTCTAGGCCTGAGCCTCGGCCAGGACAGCGGCTGGTCCTGCCGGCCCCACAAGGAGAAATACAGTACAACGCGGGGG